GAGGCTGATGGAGAGGCCTCTGGGCCCAGGCGGCTGGAGCTGAGCGAACCCCGAACCCCGTGCTGCTTAGCCAGACGAAGCTGCCCTGAGGCCCGTCCAGGTTCTGGCTCCACAGCCTGGGCAGGGCCAGTGGGGGTGGGGTCGGGGGCGAGGGGAGCCTGCTGCTCGGGGTGCAGGGAGCCTCCCCAAGAAACCCAAAGCCAGCCAGACCAGGAGGCCGCTTCCCTGGGCTCGGGCCTCCCGTCCTCAGCCCCTGGGCCCCAGGCCCTCTGGCCGGAAACAGCCTTTCCGGTTGGCCCCGAGGGTAGAGAGGGGAGCCTGGCAGGGTTACGCCCAGGCCGGGCTCCGGGCCCCAGCAGGCTGCCCTGCCCGCACACTCTTCTCCACCCGGGTCCTGTCCCTCCTTGTGCCCAACCTTCCACCGCTCCCACCTCACCAGGAGCAAACCCCCAACTCCTCCCTGTGGCTTCCGGGGCCCTCAGGGACCCACCAGTCGCCCGCTGTGGAGCAGACATTGCCAGCGCAGCGCAGCCTGGTTCAGGGCAAGGCTGGGAGCCAGGCGGCTTTCATGTGAGCAGGACAGAGGCAGGAGGAGGAGGGGGAGGGTCAGGGTGAAGTGGGGACCCTCGGAGGGGCTTTGACATGGGCGAAGGTGAAGGGGGAGTGGGGGGAAGAGTTCTGGGACACCAGGTGTGGAGCAAAGAAGACTGAGCACCTTCCTCCCTCCCCCCTCCTCCCTCCCCCCCAGGACTGAGAGCCCATGGAGATGGGCTGGTGCAGGGCAGGGGCGAGGGGTGGCAGGCTACCCCAGCCAGTGCAGGTGGCAGAGGGAGGAGGGGACAGAGAGCGCCTACAGACAGGCTGGTAGCCTGGGTGTGACTGAAGGGGTGCAGAGGAGAGAGGGACCACCTTGAAGGTCATTTTGGGGCTGGTGGCTGGGCCTCCCCAGTTCTGCCTCTCGGCAGCCATGTCCACTTGAGCCGGGTTTCAGTGACAAGCAAGACCACTCGGCGTGCTCAGAGGGGACGGAGGGGGAACCCTGCTCTGCACAGGCTCAGCGGGGGTGCAGAGGGCGTGGGGGGGCCTGGTGTGCCGTCCCTTCCCCTCAAATCCTTCAGGAAAAGCAGGCTGCGGGAGGCAGTGCAGAGGGGCCGGCCTCCTGGGGGCTGGGGACCCAGGCTCTGTGGCTGCCCCCAAGGGAGCACCTGTGTGTATCTGTGTGTGGGGGTGTGGGGGGGGTGCTCAGGAGGGGCTAGCAAGTGACAGCAGTGGAGAGAGCGCCCCAGGAAGGGAGCCGATGGGGAGCAAGTGAGGCCCAGGGGAAGGGACCCTTGGACCCTCAGGTGGGTGGCAGCCACCCTGGGGGTGGGCCTGGGCCTAGAACTGCTAGAAGCCCCGGCAGCCCCGAGGGCCAGGCCGCTGGTGCTGCTGCCCACTGTCCGCCCGGCCCCAGCCCCAAGGCCCCATGACCGGGCCTGCCCTGTGCTCCCGCGCCTGGCATCCCCACCACCTCTGCTCCTGGGTCATGCCGCCACCTTTTTCAGAGCCTCGGCGTCTGAAACGCACTTCTGATGCCCACTGGGCCCTGCCCGGGCTCTCGGCCCCCCGCCCTCCCGCTGCCCTGCTCCCTCAGCTCTTCCCAGAGAAACCGTCCCTGGAAACCAAACCACAGAGCGGGTGTGGGAAGTGCGCGGGGGCCCCTCCCAGGCGACAATTTCCAGAGGATTCTGCAAAGCAGAATTTCCATGGGAACACGTGCCGGGTGCAGGGGGAACCCCACCTTCACAGCCAGCATCGCGGGTCCTTGGCAAGGGGCAGGCTGCTCCGCCCGGCACAGCCACTGCCTCTTGGCACCAGCCCTCACTCTCCTGAAATCAAGTTACAGGCACACTTCCCCCCCTTTTTTTTTTACCTTCGAATTGATAGGCCGCGCTCCACCCTGAGGGTGCCTCTGGGGTTTCCGGGATGGCTTTTTATGTCATTCAATCGCTTTCCTGGCAGAGCGCTCAGCCAGGAGGGGTGGCTGAGGCCTCGGCCCAGCCAGCTCATGGAGTGCGTCTGTCTGTCCCTCCTCGGTGCCCGCGGATGTCCCTTGTCCACCTGCGGGGCCTCTGCATCCCCGAATCCAGACTCCAAGAGTTGGGGACCTGGCATGAGGCACCGGGACACCTTCCTCCCCAAACCCCCCTGACCTGCAGTCGTAGCCACAGCCCCCGAGCCTGACCGAGCCTGGGCCAGGCCCTGCCCTCTGCACTAGGTGTTGGTATGTATTTTTAAAAACTACATTTTTATTGATTTCAGAAAGGAAGGGAGAGGGAGAGAGAGATGGAAACATCAATGATGAGAGAGAAACATCCATCGGCTGCCTCCTGCACGCCCCCCACCGGGGATCGAGTCCACAACCTGGGCATGTGCCCTGACTGGGACTCAAACCGTGACCTCCTGGTTCATAGGTTGATGCTCAACCACTGAGCCACACTCCAGGCAGTATGTATTTTTTAACGCATCTACGCGGGTGAGGCAGGCGCCTATTGCGGTACAATAGGGCACAGGAAAGTGAAATTCCTTCGATGCTCTTGCCACCTCGGACCCTCCATCCCAGCCCCTTCCCGGAGCTGACCACTGAGCCATCTGGGTGTGCTCTTCCGGGCAGGCCACAGTTATTGCACTGACACACATAGATGCATATATACAGGCACGTAGGGTAGACCGTCCTGTGTGGGGTCTGAAGAGCTTACATGGCACCTTCTGTAGTGTTATTGGTCTTTTTAAAAAAATATTTTATTCATTTCTTACAGAGAGGAAGGGAGAGGGATAGAGAGTTAGAAACATCGATGAGAGAGAAACATCGATCAGCTGCCTCCTGCACATCTCCTACTGGGGATGTACCTGCAACTAAGGTACATGCCCTTGACCGGGATCGAACCTGGGACCCTTCAGTCCGCAGGCCATGCTCCATCCACTGAGCCAGCCCGGTTAGGGCTAGTGTATTGGCCTTGCTGCATTCACGCAGCCCCGTGGTGGGGGCCTGTGGTGACAGCTCATCAGAGCCACCAGGCTCTGCTCACAGCGAGGGACTCACAGGCCAGGACCCTAATTCGATCAGGCTCCCGTCACGGCCTTGGCCGCTGTTCACAATTCTTCCGCGTCCCCGCAGGGGCTGCAGGGACACCCTCGGACACACGGCGCCTGTCAGGGTGTGGATGCGTCCTCACCGGCGCTGCCGGCTCCTGTGCACTGAGCGGGGCCGGTCTCTGCTCCTCAGGCTGTTTATCTGCAGCATCTCACTTACTCCTGGGAACGGCCTGTGAAGTGGGGGCTGGTCTCCCCCTTTTACCAAAGCAGATGATCCAGAGAAGCGGACTGGCCAAAGGTCATACAGCCCAGAGGGGGTGTCGCTGGGCCGGCTCCCGCTGTGTACAGGAGAGGGGGGTTCCGGGGCGGGAAGGGGGGCAGAAGGAGCCTTAGAGGGCTTGGTGCATCCAGGCTCGGGGAAGCCCGTGAAGGGACCAATTTTCTTCTGAGATGGCCTGTGAGCTCACACTGCTCACACCC